ATCTTACCACTTTCCTGCTGCTCATTTTATTATATATCTACTGTATATCTATATATCTCTATATATGTAACTGGCATTTTATTGGTTGTTTTGAGATCAGCACAGAGACATTCTGAACAATTTGTTCATAGTTCTTAATGCACGTACCCAAATCCTAAAATGGCGTGTAGATACAATTCTTTTCTAAATTCTAGTGACTTTAAATCTGGAGGCAAGTTTTCCTTAAGAGGTTATCCATCCCAATATCTCCGAGTGTTGACATGCTGCTACACATCATGAGCCCCGCGAATTCACAATGTAATGTCACACAGACCCAAAAGTTCAATCCTGCACAGCACGCAACAAAATTATGAGGAAAACTGGGTTCCCATGACCAAAGGGGTTACAGAATGCCCACGGTTCTGACAAGAAAGCCATGCTGATACAATGGTTCTCAGATACATTTCTACTGAAAACAACATGGAAACAGAATTTTAAATGTTCACATCATATAAATGCATGACAGTGACTCTAAATTGCCATTAAGTATGTTTTGTATTAGGGATACAAAAACTCCCCCAATCCCATGGAATGTTACATGAACACTCAAGACAGTACAATCCTTCCACAATTAAACATCCCACTATTTTCTGGTTGCACCAAAAAATAAACAGCCAGTAAATGATTTGATGTATTAAAAAAAAAGGAACATTTACACTAAAAAAAAAAAAGAAGTGGGATTTCCTCCTCAAAAATGTTTCTAGAGTTACTAAAAAAACCTTTCATTTATAAAACAATTGGTAAAAATATTTCTCTGGATGGTACAAGAAAGGTGATGCAGGGCCCACTGACAAGACCTGGTAGATAAGCATTAATCAGACTTGGCTTCTTTTCTCTGGCTTCATCAGTCTGGACTCTCCTGGTTTTTCATTTTTCCAATTTCAGGAAGGAAATCAATAGTTTCGTGGATAGCCACTTCAGACCGTTTTCCCTCGGTTCCCTTTTTCCAAAAACTCTGCTTGCACTTTTTTGCCTGAAGATTTATCCTTTCCTGATAATTTTTTTTGGCTTCCTCTCCACTTTTGCAGGCTCAAGTTTAGCTGACAATCTCGCCAATCATGCGTCCTTCACCGCCCCTTAGGCTTGATCCTTTGGGGGCATTTTGGCTGCGGGGGCAGGGATGGGGTGGGATGGGGGTGGGGGGTGCTTGCTGGTCCTCTGAGCACCTCCATGCAGGGGTCCAGCAGAGAGGAGCTTGCCTCTGGCCGCCCTGCCAGTCAAAGGAGCTGCTAGACCCCTCTGAGTTTAGTGGGAAATACTTGAGTTTTCCTTCTCTGACAGTTCTGTGCCTTACACAGGTTCCAACTTTCACAAGTTTCACTGTAAAAAGGTAAGTCACAAAGCCTTGCCACTTGGGTTCCAGTTCAGACTCGCAGGAGTTTCTTCTAAGAAATGTGTTTAAACCTATCTCTGCAAGCAGTGGATGGCTGCAGGTAAGTTCGCTCGTTTAACACATACTTATTTTAGTGTTCTTAAAGTAAATACCAATGGCCAGCTAAACTCAGGGAGACAGGTCAGCTCAGAAAGTTATGGTGACTTTTGGGGATGTCAAATGGGTATTCCTGATAGATTTTCTCAAAAGATACAAGATGATCATAGAGGTTAATTAGGAAGAAATTTTAAGAAAATTGAAAACCGCATGGGTAAAAAAGTGGGCAGGGAAGTTATACTGAGGAATTTTTACCATCTTAAAAATGCACTTTCCAGTGATTCTCAACCTGTGGATTGTGACCCCCTTGGGGGTGGGTTGAATGACCTTTTCACAGGGGTCGCTTGATTCATAATAGGAGCAAAATGACAGTTATGAAGTAGCAATGAAAAGAATTTAAAAAATACTTTTATTGGGGGCTCTTACATCTCATCACAATCCACATATTCCTCCAATGTGTCAAGCACATTTACACGTATGCCGCTATCATCATTTTCAAAGCATTCTCTTCCCACTTGATCCCCTGATATCAGTTCCCCATTTCTTCCCCCTGCCTTTCCCACCTGCCCTCCCTCGCAAACCCTTGATAAGTTATAGACTATATTTTCCATATCTTATATCATTCTCTGTTGCCCCTCACCCACTTTTCTGCTATTCGTTCCCCTGGGAGGGGGTTCTAGTTTGATCCTTGTAATGGATTTCCCCTTTCTCCCCCCACTCTCCCCTAATCCTCCTGGTATCTCTGTTCTCGTCTTTGGTCCTGAGGGATTTATCTATCCTGGATTCCCTGTGTTTTGGGCTCTTATCTGTAGCAGTGTGCATGCTCTGGTCTAATCTGATTTGTAAGGTAGAATTGAGGTCATGATAATGGGCTGAAGGAAGCACCAAAGAACTAAAGGAAAGTTGTGTGTTTCATCGGTGCTATACTGCTCCCCCTAGCTGGCTCTTCTCTTCCCTGTGACCCCTCTGTGAGCAGATGTCCAATTGTCTACAGATAGGCATTGAGTGCAATGAAAATAATTTTATGGTTGGGGCATCACCACAACATGAGGAACTGTCTTAAAGGGTCATGACATTAGGAAGGTTGAGAACCACTGAGCTAGCCTGTGAGCATTTCATTAGGAAACCTCTCCCCATTTTCACACGATAGCCCGTATTTTGCCCTTTCAGACTTTTCCTGTGTTCCTCCCACTTAGAGAACATTTATAAGGGATGTAACGTGAGTCCCTCAAGAATGCCAAAACAGTTGTTTGGAGGTAGTGTGAATTGACAAATGTAGACTTCTCCAGGGAGGGCTTCACCATGGCCGTCAAGTTGATTCTGACTCACCACAACCCACAGGTGGGGTTTCTGAGGCTGTCAACCTCTGTGGAAGCAGAGAGCCTCGTTTTTCTCCCATTGGAGCGGCAAGTGGGTTTAAGCCACTGACCTTGTTGTTAGCAGCCACTGCTTACCCAATCTGACTGGCAGGGCTTCTCACGGGAGGACGCTTGTTGTTGGGTTCTGATTCGCAGGGACTGCATGTACAAGATGGATTGACACGGTCCCTGCTACAGCGGGTTCAAACATAAAAACAATTGTGAGGATAAGCTAAGCAGCTGTCTGGCAAAATGAGTTCTAGGCAGTGGAAACAGCTTGAGCCAGGGGGCAAGTGTGGCTGCAGTGGACTAATGGTCAAGGGAGAGAAGGGCTATTACTTTGAGGGAAATAAGGAGCTGCTGCAGAATGGTTTTGAGCAGAGGAATCAAGAGAAGCTGACTTGTTTTAAGAGGATCACTCCAGCTGCTGGGTTGCAGCCAATAGATTGGAGTCTAGAGAGGCAAATGGTTAGGTTTTATGGTAATTTCAAGTAAGAGAGGATGACTGGATTCTAGAGATATCTAACAGTAGGGCCTAGTGGGATGGAGGTGGGATGTGAGAGGAAGGAAGCGTCGAGAGTGATTCTAATGCTAGAAGGAATACAGCTCTCTTTTCTTCTTTCCCCGAATCCATGTGGATGTCTGCGTTCAGTCTTCAAGCCAGATACTCCGTGTTTGACCTAGAAAGACTGTACCGAGTTAATTCCCAAATGCTTTCCAATCAGTATCAGCCCCTCCAAGAACAACAGCAAGATGAGGATCTAGTTGCAAAAGCAGTAAACAAACATTGTGGGTACCCCCTCAACTTGAAAACGCTATAAAAACTTTACCCCAAATCCTGGGAGCACCAACCCAGGCTTGGTTTAATAGCAGAACCAGGAAACACATGACATGACCATTTCTTACTCTGTGGGAATAGACGGCGCCTCACTTGTAGCATGAAGGTTGTCTGTGGATCAGTATCAGGAACAGATTCGGGTCTCTGGGAGGAGGAGATGTGCTTTTATCATTGCAGCTGATTACATTTCTTAATACCCAACTGATGGTCTGCTCTCGTGAAGATGTTAGCAGAGGAAGACCTATTGGGACAGTTCTACTCTGCCCTAGAGGGTGACTACGCATTTGCAAGCAGTCAGCACCCAGCACCAACTGCGTGTCTCGCCCTGGTGACCTTTGAAGTGGACTC